GATCCTGCGCAGGAATACACCTGTATTCAGTACATGCAGCTTGAAGCTGTGTAGAGGCAGTAACAGGAACTAAAAATGCAGGGGAAGGAGAGCTCATAGATGCCCTCTCCAGGTACCTCGTATAGGAAGGCACGTGGATTCCCTTGTGTTCTGGCACCGTCAGCTCTTTCCTGAAAGCGAATGTTCCTCTTCCAAGAACCAAACAAGGATCACTGTGTGCTCTTTGCATACATTTAGTGGAGGGGAAGAAAAACATCGCCTTCTCCCTTTTGCCCAGACTGTTTTCAGCGCTTGCTTAGACTGTGAAACACATTCCTAAAGTCATTCTCTTAAAGGCATCCAAATCCAGATCTTCACCTTCCAGTCCATCGGGAAAGGCACATTCCTAGGAGTGGGAGAGCTGAGCTTTGCAAACAGCTCCCGGCAGTCTGTATGTAGTGTTTGTTGGATAAAATCAGTGTAAAAACTCGGGGAGTTTTGCCTCTTTCACATGTGAGTGCTGGTCTATGCAGTCATGCGCTTTGTTTTTTGGTCTACTTAAGGATCCCAACCTGTTTATTCCAAGTGGCACAAATTCAACAACTGGGCTAAAGAATGTTCCTGCTTCTAATTGTGAGGTAGAGATGGGGCATTGACCTGCCTGGGTTACGGAAAGAATTATGTCTGTCTCCCATTTCTTATGTGAGAGCTTCAAGCACTGGAAGGCTATTTAAAAGAAGGAACCACCTCTCTTTCCTACGTCTTTATTTAAAAATAAAGCAGCAGCTGCATTCTGTAACTGGAGTAATAGTATGTGGTAGCTGCACTGAGAATGCCCAGCCAACAGCATCCTTAAGAGGGCACAGGAAAATATATCAGCTACCTGACAGATTTCTGAGTGAGCGAACTATTGAGTTGATCGATAAATACTGGCAAAAAAACAGACATACATGTTTCAGAGCATATGTAGAAGTAAAGATTTTGGATGCATACAAGTCCTTAATTTTATAAAGTTAATTTAGAATGATTTTAAGGGTAGAATATTCCGTCTAGATCGACAGAAGGAGGGGGTAATGGTGTTTGTGTCAGGGCATGAAAGGAAGAAAAAAGCACCTAAAATGATCGTTAGTTTTGAGCAAGTTTAAGGCAAGCTGCTAGATTTTATGATATGGGGCTGTTTTTTGTGAATTCCTTTAAATGGGTATTTGACATTCAGTGGAACTGATTGTGGACAATGATAGAATATTTGCTTACATATTCTGGCATCTAATTTTGATTATTACCACTGAAATATCAAGCTCTGTTAAGGAGAGAAAGGCTTTATGAGTTCATATGTGCAACAGTTCAAATCCTTAAAAATTGAATATCTGTGGACAGGTTTGTTTTTTCTTCCTTCAGATGAGTACAGATGTTAAGGAAGAAGCATTTGCTGTCTTGTCCTAATTGCTAATTTTTTCTATTACTTTAGGTACTGGATATAAGTCTAAAGAGCTAGACAGTCTTGATGAAGGCCAAACACTGATGGTTGGAGGAAAAGAAATTGAAGTGATGGGTGTAATTTCAGCAGATGACTTCAGCAGTGGCAGGTGTTTTCAGGCTGGAATCGGGACGCCTGACACTGTGTCAACTGCTTTATCTCAAACTAATATGAAACCGTTTCGTAAGCCATTCAAAAGTGTTTGTCAATCCAATACTAAAGAGAACATGCTCAGAGATTCTCAAGGCTGCAAACCTCGCCATGATCCAAACGCTTCAAGTAAGATTCAGATTTTTAAGTGTCTTTAAGCATCCTCTGGCTCTCAAAAAAAGTTGAACGTGTAACCAGAATTTTCTTGTTCCACAATGTATTACTGAAGTGTTTCTGACGTACAGTGCTAGCGTTTCTATCAGCATCATGTGTGTTTCTAACGAGTGGAATGGTCTGCACTGCACAGTGTCTCATAGTTGTTACAGATGGCTGTAGAAACAAGTTAGAGCGGTTTCTGAGAGTTTTGCCAAGAAAAATGACGATATTGGTCAGAGAAACAGCCTGACACGCTAGAAGTTTTAGATGGGTTCCAGCTTCCCACTGGGGTCGGTGAAGCACTGGTATAATACGGCAGCACAGTGGAGGGTCAGTAAGAGAGAGGTTAAGCTGGATTCTGACAGTGCCTGATCCTTGGCGGCCAGCGAGTGTAACTACACTGCTCAAACTCAGCTGGGTACATTTTGGAATAAAAATTTTGTTTTATAATGCTGGAAGTATCATGAGAGTTTACAAATTGCATAGAAACAAGCTGGTTAAGCAGTTGTGTAAGAGGCATCCTGTAAATATTTGATAGCTGCAGGAAGTGTATTGCTCATCTAAATGAGAAGTACTCTTTTGTCTGTCAATAACAAACCATTTAGGAACTGTATTCTTCTGATGGCTTTATCCTTCAGATGAAAGATAAAAAGGAGTTTAAAAAAATGTTACTAAGCAGAGCAATGCATATTTAAAAAAAACCCACAAGTTTATTCTACATTCTTACTACAGTTATGCCTCCATCCTACTTCTTACCTCATATCCTGATACTATGGGACTTTTCAAAGCTGCTAGCTGGTTGCTGTGTAAATAAACAATGAAATCCCAACTAGGTGGTAATTAGTGCTATCATTGGCCCTTTCGTAAGAGCAGACTTACTAACACCAGCTTCTGGTCTGAATTCAGCTTGATTATGTTGTATCTAAGAATATTCCTTCCTGTGGTTGCAAGATGATACTACATTAGCTTTCTAACCTAAAACCTGGCAAAGACCTGATATATTCAACACTCAAAACATTCAACACTCAAATTAACTTCTTTGTTATTTTTGCACTAGTCTGTCAAAACACTATTGTTTATTCTAGTTCTTTGTCTCCTGTGGCTTTCCTTCCGGTGAATCTGAGTATCTCCTATGAGATTTCCCTGAACTGCCTGATACGGAGAGCTCTCAACACATCAGCAGGTTGGGCTGTCAGTCATTAGTGTGGATTGCACAGGAGATTCACCTAGCTTATTTAAATGCATTGTTGCACAAGCTCAGAAGTAATGGAGACACTTTCCTAGACCAGGACCTTAGGCCTGAAGCATTCAGAGGTTTTCATGTTGAGGTCTATGCCAATAGCTGATTAAAATGCAACTGCTTTCAAAATGGAAAGTCCTTTATCCTTGTGCTCAGCAGAACAGAGCACAGTGACAAAGATGTAGCGCGACGTTTTCTACGTATGATTTCTAAACTTTTAGTCCATTGCCCATCTAAGCTGTGATTCTTCCATTTCAGAGGCTGCAGAATTTTATCAGAAAGGCTGTCTTTTTGTCACCACCGGCTCTTACATAAGCAGGCATGCAATTTGATGTAGTCTATCAGAACTCAGCCTTTTGTCAGGAGGAAACAAAATCTCCCTGAATCATACAACCCATCAACCAACCTACTCCCATGAATTAATTATCAGTATAGATCTACTCTAGTGACATAACAATGCCAGGACCTATAAATTGCTTTCAGATTCCATCCTCTGGCAGTACAGTTTCCGTGAGGACGTATAGCACCGATATGAGCAACCCAGTATGGACATTGTTTTGCAAAATTATGAGGTTAGAGTTTGCAAACAAATTATGGCAAGCAAAACTGTTTATTTAGGTGTAGCCAAAGGATATATCCTAATATTTCATGCTCTCTTTGCCTCTGTATGTCTTCAAACCTTTCATCTTCATTAATGCATGCAGTGTGGCAGCCTTTGTCAACTCACTCCCAGTCCTTCCCTGTTTATTTTTTTTAACAAATCGTTGTCTTTTTCTCTCTGTTTCTCAGACAGAGAAGTCTTTTTGGGCAGCTACAAGAATATCCCCTTGTAGTCTCTAGACTTGGTGCAGGTCATTATTTATATCCTTTATCTTAAACTTTTCTTTAAGAAGACTTTTATAACTTCTTCTGATTTAACTCTATGCATTCGAAGTCATATCGCAACATTTATTACGCAGGCAATTTCATCTCATCATGAAAAATCCACTAGAATTTCTCAGTTTGTCACGTTTACCTTTGACAGAAGTGCAGACTATTTGGGAAACCTCTGTAAAAGGATTTTTTTTTATTTAGAAGGTGATCTAGATGCTCTGTTGGTAAATCCATTTTCTGTCTGAGAATGGTCAATCTACTAACCAGTATTTTTAGCTGTCATTAGATTATTGACTTTATTGTGTGGCTGAGTTAGAGAAATAATGCCCTTTGCTCACAGACTAAAAATAATGGTTTTGTGCAATTCTTGCATATGTTTTGAACTTTCAGATTCTCTAGTTATGCCAAGACCAAATGCAAGTCATCAGTGGACATTCAATAAGGCTGGTTTACCTATGGTGGATGTAGTTGTGGATCCTTACATTGCAAATAATCTCCGACCCCATCAGAAAGAAGGAATAATATTTCTATATGAATGTGTAATGGGAATGAGGTAAGATGATATATTTTGGCTTTCAGTACCTGTAATGTTTTCATGCTGACGTTCAAAATTAGACAATTTGAATGGGAAGATTTGAGCGATTGTTCAATTAATTAATATTAGTAATGTTATCTCAGTAAAGATTGCACAAGGTTTTTCTGACCTATATGTAGCATCGTGCTTGCTGTCACTTTGCCAGGTGTGATGAGAAGCTAGTGCACCAAAAGGACTCTGATTTCTACCCCAAATACCAAGTCTTGTAAACATGGATACAACCTAACCCGTGCTAAAGCACACTGCTTTCCGGGATTTATAATTCATATAATTCATAATATTAATATAATTGATAATTCTGGCATTTAGAAGAAAGGAGCTCTAATACGAACCTGTTGAAAAAAATACAGTACTGGTTTCAAAAGTGTTTTCTCCAGCCATAGATTCCTGAAGTTATATACACATTTTAAAAATACTAGGTAATATTTTTAATTCTAAAAGAAGATTTAACTTATTTGGTTTTGGAGGACTAATGCATGAATCTTGGAAATGAGGAATTTCAGTCTAAGATCTTCTGGTATAACTGAATGCAAACCTACAGTAGAGCATAATAAATGTAAGTAGGTTCTTTATACTTCAGAAAATGACCACAAGAAGCAGTTTCCTATACCAGTTGTAAATAATTATAAATATGTCTTTTAAAATGTTACCACTGCCTAATTATATCTGTTTACAGAGTCAGTGGCCGATTTGGAGCTATTCTTGCTGATGAAATGGGCTTAGGCAAAACATTGCAATGCATTGCACTTGTCTGGACTCTTCTGCGTCAAGGGGTCTACGGATGCAAACCGGTACTAAAGCGAGCACTGATTGTCACCCCGGGGAGTCTGGTAAAAAACTGGAAAAAAGAATTTCAGAAATGGTTGGGAAATGAAAGGATCAAAGTCTTCACAGTTGATCAGGTAAGATTTATTTCCAAAAGGGAATTAGGTCATATGTGACTCAGAATATAGGACTTGTGATTTTTTTTTCCCTCTTTTTTTTTTTTTTTAAACTGGAGACCAAAGTTAGTAATTATCTATTACTATTTATTTGTAATACTTTATTCCTCCTTCAGGTAATTGTCCATATGGGCATTGAGCTGTCAGTAACGAGGTGACAACTCAAGCTCACCTGCCTGTGTAGCATGTCTGTCTTATCTTTCCCCAGGTGTCACCTTTGAAGATGTAAGAGGTGACATGCTCCTCTGTGTTCTCTTCAGTTTAAGGAAGAGCTTTCTGTTGTCTGTCAAAGTGCTCACCTTCCCTGCTTTACGTACCAGAGCATCTACCTTGACTGACTTGTACTCTGTTGCTGTGGTAGTTGCTTTTGTTCTGTACTGAAAACTTTTTGTTTCGTCTGTCTGTTCCAGGATACTTCAGAAGGTTATTCCCTTTACTGCCACTGTCAAGAACTAGGTTTACATAGGGGTGATTTAAAGTCTCATGAGCTACCAAGCCTAGAAGCTCAGTGTTAGATAATGTGAATATCTCTTGTCTCCAGAAGAAAGCAGACAAATACAAATCTTAATAAAGAAGCTGATGATGCTGATCCCTGTCCCTCCTATTGTGGAGATATTCCCACTGCTAATGACTCTCCCAAGTTCCTGAATGGCGTGGATGAGTGCCATGTGCTGCATCTCTAATTCTCCTTGGTATACCTTTAGGGTTCTGCCTTTTGTTTTGAAACACAAAACTCTCTCCATCCTTTACTGCAAAGACCAAAAGTTGTAGTGTGGACTCTGTGTTTCCATGATCTTTATTGACCACATCAGATAGGGAAGCACCTGGCAAAATAAAAGGCAGGAGTGTCCAGGGAGTGAGGCTGTATTATCACTGGCTCAGAGCTTTCTCTGGAGGCGAGCCACATCTTGCTCTGGTTATCCAGTAAGGCTTTCTTGCCATGTGTATTTTCCCGTTATGCATGGCTCAGTATCTCAGTCAGAGGGTTGGGTGCCCTAGGACCAACATTAGTGAAGCTGTGAGCAGGAGACTTGCTCCTCTCTTCATTAACATTCTTGAAGCTTTCAATTCCAAGCTCTGCTTTTTACAATTAAATATCCAGTATTTTTGTTGCTAAGATTTCTGGTCCTCATGTCCATATGGAGTGGGCATTCATAGTAGAAAGGGAAGGGAAGTAGTTTAGCAAACTGTGGTTTCTCTATCTACATTCAGCAATCTGCTGTACCCCTACTTTTTCCTTGCTCCTATGTATTGGAATTGTGCCAGCGGAAGTGGAGAACTTACGGTATCTGCATTGGTGCTTGCAACCAAAGGTGAACGTATTTATTGTCCCAAGTTATTTTGTGACTTACTAGTTCCATGCAAGTAGATTGAAGAAACAAACAGTACTTCATTCCAAAGATGACACAATTATTACATCAGCCAGATTTGCTTTTAGTTTCTTGCAATGTCCTCATTGTCTATATGGAAGAGTGAATATTTCAGATGAAATGCAAGTTTCCAAACTGGTTTTAAACTCTCTTTTGTAGACTGTACACAATTTTTTAACAAGAATTATTTCTTTGAATTCCACTCATTATTGTCAAATCCTTGAAATTCCTGAGCTTACTCATCTTCCACTGAGGACAATCCACATGTAATACACTTTGCATCATTTGCTTTTCTTAGTGACTTGTTTCAAGATGTGGAAATGAAGCAAGCTGACTTGTCAGGAACTGTAACGTAGTATAGGTTAGGATGAGAAATACAGAAGTTTCTAAAAGAAGGGGATACAAGGCAAAATATAATATGGCAACATTTTTACCTGAAAAGATAGTTAGAAATAATTGAATGTTTTCCTGCAGTTTTTATGAATAATGTTGGGAGGAGAAAGTCTGAATTGCTGACAGTTACTATGACCCAAAATGACAGTAGCTTTCATTTTCCTTTAATTTAAATAACTCATATTCTTACTCATCTCATTGGAGCCATTTGGATTGAGGACACTCAGCAACTTTTAAGATTGTGTTTCCAAATAGCAAGGAATACATTGGCATGCAAAAGGAAGACACAATATTACTTGCCTGGGGTATAATGAGGTATTTCAAAATAATTTACTGTCTATCTTCTCTGGAAAAACAGCAATTACCATACTGTTATTTCTCCAGGATAACTTAAAAGGAAAAGCTTGTCTCAGAGGTTTTTCCTATCTTGCCTATAAGGAATGCATTCAAAGAACTGGCAGACTTTTAAAAATGTGTTAGGCGTGTTTTCCTTACTTTCACGCTGAAACACCACAGACTGATCCTAACCCTTCAGTAACAGACTCTTCAGAAAACCAGGACATTATCTGCTTTTAAAATGTGCTTGCAGTTTACTTCTGTTAAGATGCAGATGTCATGTAGAGGACATTGCTTTTAAAATGAAGGGTCCCCACAGAGGTTGCGTGTAGGACTCGTGGACAAGGGGTAACGGGTTTATATTGAAAGCGGGTAGATTTAGATTGGGTATCGGGGAAGTTCCTCCCGGAGAGGGTGGTGAGGCTCTGGAACAGGTTGCCCAGAGAAGCTGTGGATGCCCCATCCCTGGGAGTGTTCAAGGCCAGGCTGGATGAGGCTTTGAGCAAACTGGTCTAGTGGAAGGTGTCCCTGCCCATGGCAGGGGGGTTGGAACTAGATGGTCTTTAAGGTCCTTTCCAACCCAAACCATTCTATGGTTCTGTGTTTCTATGTTATCAATATTTGAGACATGTTTGAGGGAATAACTCCTTTATCTGTTTGCAGAGTATCACTTCTACGGGGGTTGTTTTGGTTTGTTTTTTAAGTCAAAATATCTGGAGAATTAATTAATTCCGGGTTTACATTGCTTTATGATTCAACATTTTTTAATTTACACTTCACTGGCTATATTGGATTTGGACTAGAGCAAAGAAGGGTCTGTTCAAAGAGCAAGTCTGGGACATTATGGAGCTCTAATACTGATTGACAATTTCTCCATATGTAGCTCCAGGCAACTTGCTTAAACCTGTCAAGTCACTTTGGGTAATTGTGAAGATGGAGGCTATAATACAGACATATCTTGCAGCCAGTTAAAAGGATAAATTAATTACTTGAAAATAGCTTGTAAATTTGTTTTTAGTCCGTCATCCACTGCTGCTGTTATATATGGCAGTGAATATGTTTGGCTGCAGGGGGCTTATAGTATGTCAGGACTCTCCCGCTTTTTTTAAAGGATCCAGAAGAGTTGATGATTCACCAGGGGAGAGACGTCGGAGGCAGTTCCCCGGTGCCCCCAGCACTTTCCCTGTAGGTTCAGCTCACACCCAGGAAGTGTAGGAGAATAAAGTGATTTCTGAACCCTGGGTATCTTACGATGCTTCATGTCCCAAGCGAAGGTCAGAGAGGCGTTGTGTCTGTCTGCAGGGCTGCGATGTGGAGCCTGAAACTGGGCAGGCACAGCATTGGGTGTCGCCTACAGGGTTCCTCTGTGTCTGTCTTCCTGTGTTGGGAAATTATCCTCCTCTTTTGAAAGTGGCCTTAAAAATACTGGCCGAAAAACTGGCAGTTAACTACAGTCCTGGAAACAACAGGAATGCTCGAGTCCCATCAAAACACCTGGGAAATCAGTGCATGTCCTTGTTACCGGCTCCTCTCTACTCCTTGTTTCCTCCGATGGGTGCTGGGTCTCTCGTGAGTAGCATGTACGAGGTACTTTGTGAGATTAACGTGCCAGATTCAGCCCATAGATTCATCTGCGTCACCTACTGGGAGGCTCTAAAGGTTGTGACAATTAAGTGGTACTGCTTTTACCTTGTATCACACCATCTGGCTGCAGACTTAGTTGTCTGTGTGTGGTAACTGATCTTGTTTGGAAATAAAAATACCTTCTGAGGCTCTAGCTTGATTTGCTTTTGCAATTAAAAGGGTTCTTCAGCTTGTCAGCTGGGCCCTTAGCCTGCTTCATTAATGAACACTGTTAGGAAATAGGAAGGCGCGTGCAGGGGATTAGTGTCTGGAGCTAAGCAGACAGGTAAGAGATGTGCCTACAGTAGATTTTTTCCATTTTTATGCATAATTGCAAGACAAGTAAGCAATCCTACTGCATTCACAAGTCTGTACAGAAATGTAACAATTTCTAGGAAAGATTTTTGTAAACACAGAATCACAGAGTCAAGGAATGGTTTGGATTGGACTCTGTGTCTCTCTTTAAAGCTGGTTTTGTCTCTAAGGTCTAGAACTGCTCAAGTCCTGTTCTGTTCAGACCTGAGTGCTATGATATGGGTAGCTCTTGTTGGTTTTCCTTATCGTCACATTTGGTAATAAACAAGTAGACTTTGTTCTGGTTATTTTGTTTAGGGGTTCAACAAAACCCCTTGATGTCTATTGAAGGAAAAGGGCTTGAAGGGTACATAAGGGTGAAGGGGCTCCCGACCATTTTCTCACCAGTAATACAGAGCTTAGAAATCAACTGCATGTATTTGCCAATAGACAAGCCTGTTTTTGGGGGTTAGTTTTGGGCTCTATTTTCTGAGTCCCAAGTTCCCCTTACCTGTTGGCCAACCCACCAATGTTAAGGGCTTGTAACAAAGTTAACACCATAATCAGTAAAAAACTACAAGAGTAATTTAAGGTTAGTGGAATGTTATAACTTCCTACTGGACCACATTACTGCACCCTGCAGCTTGAGATCCCAAAGTGAATGTACAGGCAGCTACTTATGCCACTTCATTATCTTGGCTTTAATTATTCATTTGAAGCTTACCTAAATGCTAGGACTGGGAAGCTGTTACAGGGAGCCTGTGCTTTTCACCTTCATGTTGATGTGTCTCAAAGGGTTTGAAAGCCTCGAAGAATACTAGATTTTCTTTTAATGTGGTGGTAGAACTCTAAATTTCTCTATCAGATCCCATATTTCCTTTGCAAATTAGGAAAAAATCAATAATCCAAATGCATGGAGGAGATAGTAGATGTCTTGTGCTAGAAAAAATACGGTAGACACTGGATGGTTAACGAATATGATGAGTGAACACAAAAGAAATAGTTGTATATGTATTTTCCTTTATACCTGCAGGACCACAAAGTAGAAGAATTCATCGGTTCTCCACTTTATTCGGTTTTGATAATCAGTTACGAGATGCTACTGCGATCTTTGGACCAAATTCAGGCTATAGAATTTAACCTCCTAATCTGTGATGAAGGACATCGTTTGAAAAATAGCTCTATTAAGACAACTACAGCCCTCACCAGTCTGTCTTGTGAGAGGAGGATTATCCTTACTGGTTAGTATCTATAGCAACTTTTGATATTTTGCAATATTAATAGAATTAGGTTGGGGTAAAGGAAAAAGCTATTGTAAGTATGGCAGGAGCACAGTATAAATTTTGGCAGTGGGTATTAAATGCATAAATCTTGGGTCGTGTGAAAACAGATTCTTTCCAAATTAAAAAGAAAAAAAAGCAGAATTTGTCTAACTTGAGGGACAGGCAAGGAGCCTGGGAACCTCTGTAAGGGGATCACGACTGTGTACATACACTCATTGTTTTCCTTTGTAGTTATTTAACAGAATTGATTCAGAACGTGACTTTTTAAATTCCTTTGTCAAAACTACTAGATGTGCAGTCTTTTTAATTAGGGGGACAGTAGTTTATTATTCATGATAAAGTTCTAGTTTAACTCAGTACTTTGAGTAATTTACACTGAAACAAAACATCTGTTTTCTGGATGCATTCCCACATTAAGCCATTAACCCACACAATCATTCAGTGATTGTACTTCTGTCATTTTCAAGGAAAAGTTACCAAATGCAGGATTATTTTTTTCTCTTTCCAGGTACTCCAATCCAAAATGACTTACAAGAATTTTATGCATTAATAGAGTTTGTGAATCCAGGAATACTTGGCTCTTTATCCACATATAGAAAGGTATATGAGGAGCCAATTGTCAAGTCTAGAGAACCTTCAGCAACAAAGGTATATTATTTAAAAAATTGCTGTCATAGAAGAAAATTCGTAGAGAGCACTGTGAAATTTGGGTCCTGTGGAATGAAAGCCAGCCATATCCTGGGCTGTATCAGGAGAAGTGTGGCCAGCAGGTCAAGGGAGGGGATTCTGCCCCTCTACTCTGCTCTGGTGAGACCCCACCTGGAGTGCGGCATCCAGCTGTGGGGCCCCAAACATGAGAAGGATATTGACCAGTTGGAGCGAGTCCAGAGGAGGCCACGAAGACGCTCCGAGGGCTGGAGCACCTCTGCTATGGGGACAGGCTGAGAGAGTTGGGCTGGTTCAGCCTGGAGAAGAGAAGGCTCCGGGGAGACCTTATAGCACCTTCCAGTACCTGAAGGGGCTACAAGGAAGCTGGGAGGGGACTTTTTACAAGGGCCTGTAGTGACAGGACAAGGGGTAATGGGTTTAAATTGTAAGTGGGGAGGTTTAGATTGGATATCAGGAGGAATTTCTTCCCAGAGAGGGTGGTGAGGCACTGGAACAGGTTGCCCAGAGAAGCTGTGGATGCCCCATCCCTGGAAGTGTTCAAGGCCAGGCTGGATGAGGCTTTGAGCAACCTGGTCTAGTGGAAGGTGTCCCTGCCCATGGCAGGGGGGGTGGAACTAGATGGTCTTTGAGGTCCCTTCCAATCCAAACCATTCTATGATTCTAAGAAATGAAGTTCATGACTAATAGTAGCACAAACTTTTCACCTCCCTGTTTGAACCAAAATCAGTTGTTTTCCAAAGGGAGCTGGAGCAATACCTGCATGCTGAGATCGCAGCTTTTCAGCTGCCTATTAATTGTCAGGCAACAATTATTCTTCCAACACCTTGCATTCCCAGAAAATGCCATGCAAATAACCATATGATGATACTTTATTCATTCTTAGTTTCTCCACAGTACTGCAAAATCTGCATGATTTTGTTGCATCAATCAAGAAATTCTGGAATACAATTCGAGCCTTGGGTATCATCTGTGTCATTATCCTCCTTTGTATAAGACTTTAGAAACCAGACCTAGAACTAAGCTAATGCAGTGGTCCTAATTGGAGAAGAATTGATCATTACAGTCCCAAGTCAGGAAGTGCTATCATATATTAAAAATATTCTTTAACTACCTAATTACAGTCGTACAGACAATAATTGTGATGGAATGCAAATTTATCATTAATTTTGTGCTTTATTCTTTTAGGAGGAAAAGGAATTAGGAGAAAAAAGAGCAGTGGAACTCACACGCCTCACTGGACTCTTTATTCTTAGGAGAACACAGGAGGTCATAAACAAATTTCTGCCTCCCAAAAAAGAGAGCATAATCTTCTGCCGGCCAACAGCACTGCAACTTGAATTGTATCGCAAACTGCTTAGTTCTCCAGTTATTAGGTCCTGTCTGCAAGGCAGGCTAGAAAACAGTCCTCACCTAATATGCATAGGAGCTTTGAAGAAACTTTGCAATCATCCGTGTCTTCTGTTTAAAGCTGTAAAGGTACCTATTTGCATGGGGGTGGGGGCCTGCAATTAGTTATTTCTGCGGGCAAAAGTCAGTGAAACTGTTAGCGTCATGTGCGTGTTACTGAAGGCCATTTCCATACTCTCTTCTCGCACGCAACCTGCTGTAGGTCTGCTTTCAAAAACATAAGCGTTAAGAAATCTGTGTGTACTCAGGGAAGGCATCTCACCAGCTCCCTGTTGCCTTGCGGTACTTTCTTATTCCTTGTGTATTTTCCCACTTAATCTTGTCTCTGAATATTTGTAAAAATACGTATAAATGAGAATTTTACAAATAACACTGTTAGCTAGAGGCTATTCTTTGTACTCTGTCTTGCTGATTCCTCTGAAACCTCCCTGTCCACACGATAATTTCACTCTCTGAAGCTCAGTGACACTGGAAGCTGCAGGCTGAAGATGTCAGTGGTACTACATGTCTCCATTTCCACTTGTCCTGGGATCCTGTCACACTCTACACCTTGTTATTTCTATAGAAATGTGGTAGTTAGAGCTTGGTATTACTACCTTCCGTGGCCACTTGTCCGAGTCCAAGTAAGGTGACTGGAAATCTTTCTTAAAAGATGTTCTTCATGACTTGTGGGAATGTCCACAGCACGGAGTTGCTGTAACTTCCAGCACTTCCAGGTAAAGTTCGTTGCCTTTACTTCATAGGATGAGCATGAGACATTTTTCCTATGTGAAAGTGTAACCCTTTAGAAACTATAGGGAAGGAAAGGACTGGATGTGCGAGTCATTTATTACCATTACAGGTTTGGCATTTGAGGAGGTTGACCTTTTCCTCCCTGTGAAACATCGATTTTTCAAATTACAGCAAACTATTATATCTCTTTCTTCTATTTTATTGTTTTCACTTCTTACCTTTTCTTCATTTTCAGTTGCATAACTGAATCTTAGTGACAGCATCTTCCTGAAAAAGTCAGTGACTGGGAAGTAGGCGTTAAGGAATTTAAAAAGAATGAACAGGGTGTTGACTTGTTTTTCCCCAAGTTTTAGGTATGGCTTTCCTGTGGGTGTACATCTGTGTGGTTGTTTAAGTAGAGAAGTAGAAGTAAACCACATTTTTCAGTTTTAAGTATTTCAACTTTCTACTCATCTGCAGATGACGTCTGGGATTAGAGCTTGTAAAGCAAAACTAACGCTACTGGTATTTTAAAACTGTGCTTTCAGTCCAGTATTGGAAGGTTGGCGTGTTCATGATACACTGCTTTGTGTCAGCTTTTGATGCTTCCTTTTGTGTTTGTAAGGAAAATACAGCAAACTTTGATAACAACCAACACATATGAGAGGATATGGAGCTTGAATCCTTTTATTTTCAATAGGAAAAAGGCTGTGATCCTCTATCTGATGAGCATGATGAGTCCAGTCTCTACGAAGGTGTAATAGATGTCTTCCCACAAGATTATACTTCGGACACTTTAGCAGAAACAGATTCAGGAAAATTGCAGGTGCTGATGAAGTTGCTGGCAGCAATCCATGAGCTCAGCTCTTCTGAAAGGCAAGTGTAAAAGAAAGGTGAAAGGGAGATAACGGGATGTTGTTTTGCTTTTCAAATGCATAAGGACATAATATTCGAAGTCAGGCATGGCAACTGTTTGCAGAGGTACCAAGCTTATTTATGCGTTGTACTCCAGGCTCTTCCCTGTTAAATTACTAAACTAGGATTTGCAGCTGATGTAGTTTTCAAAGTTGCTCTTCATATTTTTTCCAGATAAAAATCCTTGTGTTTTTCACAGTGAGTTCCAGCAACCAAATTTGCTACAGCCCCAGTACTATGACATATTATCTTTACTTGGAAAGGCTTTCCAATGCTTTGTATCTCCTTGAGGAGAAGTATTAATGTATTTAATATTTTAAATTGCACTAAAATGCTTTTAATTACTAGATTATAAATTCTTTCCTCTTTAATCACATTTAACTGCTTCATGCTTGCTGCCTTTTCTGCTCAGATCAACCAGACTCAACAGCTGAACCTGCACAGCAACTGCTTAATTCCCCTGCAGTAAATGCCACTGACGAGTAGGAAAACCTCTGTTTGTCATGGAGTAATAGAATGCTCATGGTTAGTTACTGTGGAATTGCTGATTCATGGAAATCTCACACGACCTTGTACCCACGATGACTTTTTTCATGTAGTCATGCCTTAAAGCCCAGCTTTCCAAAAGTATTTAGCTTTTACAGGACATGCTGTAATTCAGTAGCAGATCTTTTGGCACTGATGTAATGGAATGTGTTTGTTCCTGATGTGCTCACTTCACAAATCAGAAAGCTGAGTCTGTCGCTGGAATTTATATGCCTAACATCCATCAAAACCATTACATAATATCTAAATATACTGGCTTAATTTCTTGTAGGTCAAAAGAAACAGGGGTATCAGGAAAAAGCACCTTTCCCTGTATATAGGAGCCACTGAGTTACAGCTGGTGTTGAGGCATTATTTTAAATCTTTAAAAGTTTTGTTGCTTTAATTCAGTGCTGGTCATGTTTCTTTTTCTTTTGTTTCTCTGCTCACATTAATACTAAATACTTTTTGCTATATACAGGCTCAATTCCAGTCCTCTTATAAAGCTTATATTCTATTTTTTGAGTAAAAATCAAAGGTGTGAATTTGGGGTTGATTAACAAAAAAAAATCAGTCTTGCAAGGTCTTTACAAACAAGTCTTAGATGTAGTTTGATTGTAGAGTCAACTGTAATAATAAAAATAATTTACAACAATTAAAAAATACTAATTTACCAGATTTTCCCAGAAACTATTTGTCTAGTTCTTCGGTATTTGTTTTTAATCAAAAATTATTTTTAAAAATGGAGCACGTTTCATGGAATTTTGTGCATTTACTTTAGATGATAATAGACCTCCAAACAAGTTCTAGCAGAAAATGCCCTAACTCTACTTCTTATTTTATTTATGGCTTAAATTCAAGAGAACTTTCTTTGTCCCCCCAGTAGAATCATCCTCAATATCTGGGAGGATAGAAATTCTGGATTTGATGAACTCTGAAACATATTTTGTTCAAAATTTCAGAGAAAAACCACTGACATAGTATGGGTCATCAGTGTAAGGGATCAGGAGACTGATTCTGCTTTAAAAAGTATAACAACAGAAATCCAGACTATATTGTTTGTGATATCTTTCACCATCCTTAATCCCAGTTCTTTTCAATCATAAAATGTAGGAGTCATCACTTTCCTATAGGACTTCCATGATTTTGTTTGTTAGAATTTTTCGAGGTTGTCTATAGAGGTTCACAGTAGCTTTTCCAGTAAGTAGAACCATATGTGTATTATTTATTAGCTGCTACAGTATCCTTCGCAAATGCTGCCTTAACAACTGCTATTTTGTAAAAATAGAGGTTTATTTTTTTAAAGTCGTCCATCTCTGTGGTTGGTTCTGGATCCCTGAAATCTGTGCATTAAGCCAAATTGTGTTGTGAAGGAAAGCATTCATTATTTAACATTTGAATGCTTGACAGTAGGTATAATGCATCCAAATATAACATGTGCTTCAAATTAATAGGAAATGCTTTATTTCTCAGGAAATATGAGTGGCCTCAGGTTGATGTGTAATTTTTGCTTGACTTGTGATTTTATTTTCTTAGATGTCTTCAGTAATTCGTTGCTGGACTTGAACTTTACCTCGGTCTGAAACGATAACTTTGTTTTACTGTCTTACAGAGTCGTACTGGTCTCCAATTACACTCAGACATTAAACATTTTACAGGAGAGCTGCAAACGTTATGGATACTCTTATACTAGACTTGATGGACAGACTCCTGTTTCCCAGAGACAACAGATTGTTGATAGTTTTAATAGTAAATTCAGTCCGGCGTTTATCTTTTTGCTGAGTTCGAAGGCTGGCGGAGTAGGACTGAATCTGGTCGGAGCATCTCATTTCATCCTGTATGATATTGACTGGAATCCAGCTACAGACATTCAGGTCTGATAGCAGCTGTGCACGTTGGGGGTGGGGTGGGCATGCAGTGATGTCCTGATTGCGTTTTGAAATGCCTGCCTTTACATGTCTTATTGCTACCTGGTTGTCACATTGAATCTGGACAATACCAAAGGAAAACTCTGAGAAGAAAAGAAGAAATATTTCTCTGTCATATTACATATATTGTGATCATTAGAAGCCCCCTTGCAGTCAGAAATGAAAAGATTAAATTCTGGTTTCTTTGGAGGAGCGAGTCATGTATCTCCTTTGTCTCCTGACCTTTTTTAACTGGAAAATTGCCGTGTTTCTACAAAGAAAAGAAAAACGTGATTAGGCTGCCCAGCAGATGTTGCTGTCGATTTGCAGCACCTGAGAAAAAGGGAAAGGTTCTGGTCAGAATTAAGAGAATGGGAAGATGATGTGGCAATGATGCCAAAAGAAAGAAAACAAAGGCAGTGCTGTGCTATTCCTGTAATGGCACTGTTGGGCTCAAGGGATCAGTTAGTTGGCATAAAGTGTTCAGTTAGAATGGTTCTTAACAATAACAATTTAAAGAAACCTTTTTATAAACACACTAAGAAACTTTGTATTGTAATGAATGCTGTGTGCTAAATACCTGGAATAAGCTCTGACTCTTGGCCCTGCTCCTTTTCCAAGTGTGAATTAGGACCCTCGTGTGGACACTTGTCTTGTTGCTTGGAACACGGTCTGCTAAATCGGTCAAAATTGCTGCAGGTTGACAAAGACCGCAAACCGTCTTGGGGGTACTGGTACCCAGAATGTAGGTGTAACCCTCACATTTTGGAAAAAATATCATATGGCAGTACTCAGTTACACTTTCTTCAAGAATTAAAGGGGGTGTGAAACACTAATTTTACAATTTTAAAAGAAATGGAAAAGTAATTTTTAAAGATGTGTTGTGGCAAAAAAACCCAGTTTTGGACATGAGGGACAATGAGGAGTATTCCTGAAATAACAGTTGCTAATGCTTAAAAAAGAAATAAGAAGAGGGGATTTATGGCTGGAATGAGGTGAAACCCCTACTTCCTTACTGTAGTACACAGAAAGAAGGGGGAGCATACATGGCAGAAAGCAAAATTATATTTTCAAAATTACTAACAGTTAATACTAAAAGTTTTTTATAAAAAACAACCAGTTATTGAGGAATGCTTTCTTTGGACAACATCTTTTTAAATGAGCTAGCAGAACTGGTAAGTTGGTTAGTGGAGGCTACAAGTTTTAGTTGAAATCATAGAATCATAGAA